AGTGACGCCGGGTGCCTATTACGTGTCTGGATACATGTGTCCTTCAGAGGCAGGCCAGCCCCGGCAGACCTCCACAGGAAAGGAAATCAATCATTTGTCCAGAGATGGCTAGCTGGAAGAGAAGCGACCCAGGTGCATCGTTTGCCCTCTGACTTTGGCGTGCCTGTCCCGACCGCAGTGACATCACCAGAGACCCGAAAGGTGACTCCCTGCAAGGAGAAAGGATCCTCACAGCAGGCGCATTGCCAATGTTAGGCACAAAGACAGCCACCCAATATTTTCCCGGCAGCCTTTAGACAAGGTGGAGCCCAAAGAACTCCTGCTACAGCACTGAGACAAGACCGGCCACCCAATCGGCCCTATGACGCCTTTATCAGGGCACAGTTGAACGAAGCAATTTCCTGCCCCCTAAGGGTGTGTCTAAACTATATGGCTCCATCCATGGAGCCATGTAGATTAGGCTGATCGGCCGAACAAACAAATTTACATGGCTCTGTCAAAGGAGCCATGTAGTTTAGACGTACCCCAACTGAGTTAAAGCGGTGCAATTTGTATGTAGATGCTCTTCAGTTGTTGCCAACCTTAAAAACTAGTCCATTTGGGGCTTGCCTACATGGCACCTGGCACTGAACAAAGTAAGTGGGTTACAATTCACACCATTACCAATTTCAGCAGAAGGCTGCGTGTGGACACCTGTTGGAGTAAGAGCACGTGTTCGTAAAATATAGATTTGAACCGAGGTGTGAATTGTCGCACTCCCATCTCTGTGTCCATTTTCCTTTATGTCTTTCTTTTTCTTTTCTGCATCTGAGGAAGTGAGCTGAAGCTTATGAAAGCGTATGCCCTCAAATCCTTAAACATTCGGTAAGTTTTTAAAGTGCCACCAGACTCCTTGTTTTTTGCTGAAACAGATTAACGCGGCTACCTCTCTGACACAACGCATTTTGTTAGTTCGGTGCTATTTATCACAAAGACAAGGTTTTATAGGGGTTGGCTTTTCCAATATAACCTGTTTGGATCTCATGTAAAGGTGCCCACACAGGGGTACATACTGGTTCAACTAAACTCATGCAGATTTGTGTGTAGACAAGCCAGGATGGGCAGGGATCGTGTCCCTAGCCTCAGTCAGAAGCTGGGAATGTATTAAAGGTTAAAGTATTAACCTGGGAAGGCTAAAGTATTGGGTGAAGTTCTCTGTCATAGGTAAGAGGACAGACTCGATAATCAGGATCCTTTTGGGCCTTAAAAACCCACAAATCCTCCAGTCGTAAACAAGCCGGACACTCAGGAACGGTTTGGGGGTCTCACAATGATCTAACATGCAGTCAGAAGCTGGGAATGTATTAAAGGTTAAAGTATTAACCTGGGAAGGCTAAAGTATTGGGTGAAGTTCTCTGTCATAGGTAAGAGGACAGACTCGATAATCAGGATCCTTTTGGGCCTTAAAAACCCACAAATCCTCCAGTCGTAAACAAGCCGGACACTCAGGAACGGTTTGGGGGTCTCACAATGATCTAACATGACCAAGCTCCCAGCACCCCCGGGAGCCAGCCACCCTCCTGGGCCCCCCCAGCACCCCAGAGAGGCAGACCCCCCCCTGCTCCCCAGCACCCCAGAGAGGCAGACAGCCACTGTGCCCCCCAGCACCCCAGAGAGGCAGGCACCCTCCCTGCCCTCAGCACACCCCAGAGAG